TTTGATGGATGCATTTTGATGTATTGTTTTGTGGTAATATTCATTGCATTTCTACTAATATTTGCTGTATGTATTTAGTGGCTATGCATTTGATATATATCAGCTTATCACTACCAGAGCTCCAAAAAAATGTGCCTTTGCATAATAATGGCCTATTTTTTCCATCTGGTGTCTTTAAATCCTCTTTTGTTCTTATTCTGTTTTTGTACTGAGATTATTTATTCTGTTGGTTGTAAACCGCTGTTTCTCAAAAAAATTTTTTTTCATTATCACCTTATTTTGGAGCTTTTTAAAGACTTCTTTCCCTCAATCCTCTTGTCTAGGAAATATTAATATCACAGTTACAATGTGCATTTACTGCCTATATAACTATGTTGTAATAGTAACAAAAGCAGCATTCTTTCACTCCCACTCAAGAGCTACTTCTCAGCCTCTTTGGAGCAGTATCACCCCATTGAAGATGTTCATACTAGAGTCTCCTATAACACGTTCCTTCTGCGAGGAAGCTTAGTTAGCAAGTGTGTCAGACCCTTGCGCATGTAGTATCACTCCTCACTTACCTCCTTTCTCTCCATTTTCCATTTTGACGGCGTTCAGCATTATTTACTATTTAGTTAGAGTCGTTCCTTAAATCTGTTCCTCACGTGGGTTATGGAGGCAATATCATCTCTAAATCCTTCTGTCTATTAATCTTTCCTTCTTTTCTTTACCTAGCAGGTAAAATCCCTGTACGGTACAGAGCTCTTGGATTTGAGTCTTTGTCCGCCATGCAGCAGCTTAGCGTTACAGAGAGCTAGCTCTACGCCAGTCAGTCTTACACGTTTTCCTAGATAGGTACCTTAATTTTTTTCCCTTTGGTCAGAGGTTTACAAGAATTTCTCTCCTTGGTGTTCAGTTATTTTATAGAAGGGGGCTAGATGTTTCTTTCTATTCACATGATCTTCCTCTTTTCACCTTTTCTTAGATTCGGATCTTTCCTCACCTTAGATAATTTTTATCTGTTACTTCAGACTTACTCTTTCTTTGCCTGTTTTTCTCTGCATTGCATCTGTTTGCCATGTATTTTCTCAATTTGTTAATCTCTTCCCCCTTATGCCCTTATCTTCTTTGTGTATGTGTGTGATGCACATGGTGGTTGCTTTGAGATATTTCTCCCATTTGGTCCTCAGTTCACTAATTTGGGTCTGAACAGGCCACAAATTTGGGTCTTGCTGTTCTTTAATTACTCCTCTAAGTTAGTTCTGAAACCATAATGAGTCCCAGCCACATTTAGCTGCCTTGGACAGCTCATATTGTGCTTCAGCTCTGGTTCCTGCCTTTTTAGTAGCTGTATCATCAGGTGCCAGGCCACTCTCTGATGCTTACTAGGGGATGAGACTCATCCTTTAGATACCTGTGATCCCCAGAAGCTGGCTCTGAAACTAATCACCCTCCACCCCAACACTATTAGCCTGAGAATCACATAAACCCTAGCTCAGAATAGATGGAGTGCTGAAGTCTTGGGAGTAACTTTCTTTCCAGAATACCTTTCCCTTTCCAACATAACATAACAAAATGGTCATATAGGAGAACTGTGCTGACTCAAGGAGAGAAAAGTGACTTCGAGGCCTGGCTTTGCCACTAGCAAGCTGAGTGGCAGTGCTTTCTGCTCCATTTTCTTGTGCCTCTGGGTCCTCATTTATAAAATGAGCAGATTGGTAGACTATTGATCTCTAAGGTGTCTTCCATCAATGTCGTTCCCATTTTGTATGAAATTGCAGTGCCTTGAAAGTTGTACATCATACTTCACTATGATGAAGGGGTAAAATTCAGTGATTTTTCAACTGTGTTCTACAGAGCCCTGGGGATTATGCACAGGAGAGCAGAAAGGGATTAGAGGAGAGGTTAAGCTTAGGTTTTCATTTGGACAGAGTTCTGTTGCTAAGGCAAGTTTAAAAAGCACCATAATGTTTTATATAATCCCCAGAATTCATTTTATCAAGTATGACTTACTTCTCTTTGGTATTTTTGCTTTTTTTCATTTCGTGTTATATTTGGGCATTTCGTTCTCTCCACCAGTTGTTTTGGGTCAATAGAAACAGACACTATTTATAACCCCTATTCTTTTGGGCTTGAAGGGTACCAGAATATGCCATTCCAAGCTGTGCTTTTTTGCCAAACAGATTATTTTGCCCTAAAGGCTAGTAACCTATTGAAAATCAACAGATGTGGGGGAAGCTAAACTATACATTGTCCCTTTTGTAAAGGAAATTTCCTTCCATTTGTGAAATGTATCTCCAACTTATCATCAGGGCACTAGGCTCTTGTTGTGTGGCAAGACTGCCCTCATTTACTATGGGATTCCTCTCCTCACCCCATCCTATATCCACTCATCTCTTTGAGTCTCACTTCTTTTTGCAGATCCCTTGCATGGGATGGAATATATATACCGAATTTAAATTTAGTTTTTCTCTAGTTAATCTGTCTTTTGTCAGTTTGATTAAAGGGCCCAGCCAGTGAACCTAGGAGGACAGAGGGGAAGAGTTAATTTTCCCGTATGGGATCAGAAGGGCTTCCTGGTTCAGCATCTCTTAAGGGTCACCAGTGTGTGGTACTGGATCTCAGTCCTTGGGTGTTGCTTCTCCACAGAACTGTGCGGCCCATAGTAAGGTTTTTGCAGACTTCATGAAAAAGAAATGGTTTAAAGTAGGTCAGCATGCCTGAGCCACTATCTTGAAATGATTTATTTAAGTTTGAGATGCTAGAAAATGTTTTTCATTGGAAAGGGTAAGATCTTAAATTGCTAATGTTTAAAAGCCAAGGGGCTTTTGTTCTTCCTTTATTAAAAATTGAAGGGTGAGCTCAACCCAGAGAGAACTAAGCCTCTGCAGATCTCTGCATAGGGTAGGTGTTTAATACCTTTCAAAGTCAGTACATTTTGAGTGCTGTAGCAAAAATTACTAGGCAGGGTGATGACACACTGAAGACGGGAGATGTAATAGTAGTTTCACTGAAGCCCAAGTATGGAAGTTCTACAAACCCCTGCTCATAATTGTGAGTGTTATTATTAAAACTTTTAAGATTCCTTGGTGCAAGTAATTAGCACTTACTAAAAGTAAAAATAAAGTTTATTTAATGAGAGTCTACAAGTATCTGTAGATGTCAGAGTTTCTATTTGTACTCATCTGAGAGTTCTGGTGTTTGTTTTAAATTTCACAAAGTAACATGGGGGAATCAATTTAAGGTACAGAACCAGAAATACAAATAGGTTAGATGATAGCTTATGTTTTATTTGTGCTAAATATATTTTGTTAAAAATAAATTAGCTTAAAAATGCTGACCCACTAACCATGAGACCTAGCTAAACACACAAAGTGTTTCTTTGTGTGAAGGGGAAAAACTCAAACAACAGAAGCAAACAGTATTGACCAGGGGTCTGGACTGTAGCAATCTGAACCATGCAGTCATAACCAGACTTTCAGTAGGGTTTTACAGATTCTCTTCCTTGGACGAATGCCACAGCTAACAAAGAAGATTGTTGTAGAGCAGGAAGAACCACAAAGCACTGTAATGTGGATTTTCCCATGCCTCACGTACCTGAGCCTGTCACTGGCTGAGCTGTCACTTCTCAGTAGTAATTTAAAGTTTACATAGACACTGAGAGCAGCAATTCAGCAGCAGCTCTGTCGTCCTTTCCTGTCCTTCTCTCTCTGTCTCTTTGTCTCTCTTTTTCCCTTCTCTCTCCACTTTTGCCTCTTTTTCAGAGGTGTTCATGACTGTCATATGTACTCTCTCAACATACTGAACATGAGTTCCTGGTTTAGGGTGAAGTTACCATCAGGATCTAGGGTGCAGAGTAAATTATTGTCTTGCAGTGAGCACCACCTTAGCAAATCTTAATTTCCACTAACAGAATGCATGGCATAGGATGCAATTCTTACCATCTCCTCCCACACCCAGGGCATATGAGTGCTGGCAGCTCCAGGCTAGAGCACAGCTAGATTATGCCAGACATCCTTTTCTGCTGTGAGCTGTCATCCCAGCAACAGGCACACCAGCTCCCTCAAGCATTACACTTCTAGTCTTCCCTGGTACTCTTTCCTAAGGTAGAATTGTAGGAACACTGGTTACACCCACATTTGCTCCATCCTCTCTTCCCAATCACCACATCCTTTATATATAATCAATATCCACAACCTATTTTTATTAAGGTAAGCTAAGACTTGATGGTGCCCATTAAAACCCAAGCTCTATAGTCCACCTGGCCCAGTTTCTTTTTATGATAAGGGGAAGTCTATCAAAGGAAAATGGAAATAGGGTGATAGTTTAAGCTCATCCCCTGAGATAAGGAAATAACTTGTGGACCTATCACTGTAAGTCTCTCTGAGATTAAACCTTATAAAAACCATGCAATGTGAAAAACTTATAAGGAAAACCTTTAATTTTATTAGTTTTATGCAGAACATTATTTGACTTCATTGAGATAGTTTTAAACATAAGGATGGATTCAAGTAAATAACTGATAGTATTTACAGTTAACTCCCTTAATCTCACAAAAACCTTTTGAAGTAAATGTTATCTACATTTTACAGAGCAACAAACTATAGATTAGTGAGGTTAAGAAACATTATAAACTAGAAAACCAGCTGGAACCCAGGTCTTTCCAGACCAAAGTGTAATTGTTTAATATTCTTTGTTCTCTCTTTATGTGTAGATAACACAGACTTTTAACATAAAAGGAAAGTAGATTTGCATTGTAGCACTGAAGTTATTATTGCAATGATTGCTGAATTACACAATACCCAAAAGGACGGTGTAATTTATATTCATGCTTCTGTTCTATTTTTATAAACTATGCCGGGAGAATTTCATAAATCTTTTTGCGAATGCTAATTGTTTGAAGTACTTGCCTTTTACAAATTGAATACGTAGTTTTAACTTTGATGAGTTTATTAATATCTACTTAAAATGGCAAACATTTGGATTTTCTGACTTTCTTTGTCTCTGATTATTTTTTCCAGGGTCAACGTCTTTTTGAAAAGTTGCTCCAACTGACTTCTCAAAACATAGAAATCAAGCTAGTGAGTGATGTAACAGCTGGTTCAAAGGCATTAGAGGCCTTGAGATTAAAGGGTAAGGCCAAGGTTGATGTGCTACTTTACCAGGTATTCTGTTAAAATACTTTTAATTTCACTTAAAATAATACGCAATTTCTTTAAGATCAGTACATTTCACTTAGTGTGCACTTTTTATTTCTCCTTTGAAAGTAGCCTGATTAAAGCTTTTAAATGAAGGAACTAATTAATCAATACTACTGGGATTTTTAAAGATAGTGTGTTCCATATTATTTTTACCCAAAATAATCTACTGGCCATTAAATGATAATTAACTTGAAAGAAACATCCTTCTTCTTTGAACAATGCAGTGATGTAAGTAGAAAAAAGAAGATCTACTTCCCATTAGAACAAAACACTGGACTTTCGTTTCTCTCGTGCCCATCAGGTGAAAGTCCTCTTCCTGCTGCATAGTCTTTAAAATAGCACAGGCGGGTTCACAAGCCTGTGAAAGTCTGCCTGATTCCTGACTGAGGAGAAAACCACCCATACCATTAGTTTGCAGGTGTTCTCACAATCTCATGAATACAGAATTATCCCAAGATAAATTTATTTTGCTGTAATCTTCTTTAAGTGAGCTCTCACTTCCAAAGACTTTTTTTTAAAGATTTGTGAAAACTTTTACCCAAAATTTGCTGTCTGAACTTTAAGCCTCTAAAAAGAATTGGCATGTGAGAGCCTGTGAAAACATAGAAGCTGCTGGGTATCCCTGGGAAGAGGATAAAGCCTTCGTGAGTCTGCATGTTTCACCAGGTGGCATTGGTTCTCAGGTGTCTGCTATTTGAACATCCTGCATTTTTGCTAGTCATCTTCCCCACATCATTAAGGGAAAGTACCTTCTAAAAAATGGGAGAGGGAGAGAGAGAGAGAAAGGGGAAGGGGCCAATACACACCCCCAGTCACCTAACTTCCTTCTTCTGGGCCCCATCTCATAAAGGTTCCACCATCTGCCAAATAGAGCTGTGGTCTGAGGACCAAGTCTTCAACACATGGACCTTTAGGGAACATTTATCCAAACCATAACAAACCTGTAACCACATGTAGTGTTCTTTCTCTGCAAAGGACAGTTGAGAAAATGGATGAGATACTTCTGGGTCTGAAAAGCTTCACTTTATAGCATAATATTTTTGAAAAACTGAAAATGTCTGGATCTGTGGATTGACAGATATATTAAGGATAGATTAGAAATATATTACTCTTTTTCATTTAAAAATATCAAATTGGGTTCCCACTGTCTGAGAATTTGTTATCTAGCACACTCTTCAAGAATGGATTGCTTGTGGTTAAGTGAGGATGCCTGTATTTGGGGGTGATTTGTCTCATTGAATCTGCTTGCGTCTTCTTGGGGTTTGATTGTCCTGGAAACATAAAAAGCAGGTGAGTTGGAAGGAAGGGAGGGAGTCTGAGAGTTCTACCTCTTCTTAACTATACATGTACACATCTTTTTCTTGATATAATCCTTGCTAACTCTTGTAAACTCAACCAAAATTTCAAACTAGGGGATATAAGAGGGCAGGACACACTGTCTTAGATATTCTTGAATAGTTGGATATTCTAAACAGGGGATAGCTATAAACAAATTTATAGATAAAGCTCTGATTTACATTTCTATTGTGAACTATGAATCATAGCTTCATTGTGGACCTTGCTTCTCACAGGAAAGGAAGTGTTTGAATTTCCAAGCATATGTATATACCACCACAACAGAGGCCGTGTCAATAGCAAGAGTCACCATGACAATAAGAAAACAAATGCTTTTCCTTCACAGCATTGGAGCAATGCACAGGACCCTCGTTCCCCACAGCTATTTCCTATGTACCTATAGTAGGTCTGTCTGGCTTTCAGTGATGTATGTATGTACAAGATATATGAATCTTTAAAATACAGGCATTGTATCTCTCTACTTCCATCCTTTGGGAAAGATATATTAAATGATAACCTAGTGCTTTTTAGAAATACTTTTTATGAAACTATTTAAAATTTGTGTTTGAATACCTTGCTTAAGGATTATCTTTTAACTTTTTAGGGAGCAATTCTAGTCTTTTAGTAAAAGTTTCAGGAGGTTTTACCCAAAAATACAGTAGTCAACAAAAAAATAGGTAATTGTAAAACTAGCCATGAACAATTTCAGCTGCAAGGGGGTTACTGCATATAGAAGGTAATACATTGTGAAAAAGAACAAAGATGAGGCTTCCACATAAAGGGTAAAGATTTGGCAGGCACAGGACCCAGGAGGGCAAGGCAGGCTGGAGAGTAAGACAGCTTACCCAAGGCAATGGAGCCCCTCATGGAGGGGGGAGATCCAGGTCCCCCACTTCCCCCTCCATGCCCCAGTCCTGGCCTCACTTTTCTTGACTCAGAATTTATAAAGATCCACACCCCTCTCCCAGGTACTCCAACCTCAGCTTGGAGGTGGGGTGCTTAGGAACCCAATTTCCATGAAATTCTAGGACTCAGGGAGGGATTAATGTTACAGGGGAATACCTATAAATTCAAAAAGGAGGTTGGGGTTTTTTTTTTACACTAATCATCGTGTCTTGTGCATGCATATGTAGTTCTGGGATTTGAACTCAGGGCCTGTGCTTGCCGGGCAGGCGCTCCACCACTTGAGTCCCTCCAGCAGCTCCTACTACTCATGTTCTTAATTTCACACACTGACCATCTCCACCTGGGTCTCCACAAACATAACACAAAGAGCGCCGTGTTCACTTAGCTCCTTTGCTTCCTCCTGCCTCCAATTAACAGCAACAGTTGTCTCTGGAATAAGAAAGTCAATTCCACACTCATCCTTCACATCTAATGAGCCAATTTCTGAAGACTCTGCCCCTCCGGCTTCTTTCTCAGTACTCTATTTTCTTCTCAGCTGCCACTGCCCATTTCAGGTCTTTAATAATTTGCTAGGGCCTTGTCACCTTCCCACTCCCACCATCTGATCTCCACATAGCTACCAAAAGGATTTTCCATAGCATAATGATGGGACCCTCCCATCCCTCTAAGGTGTGTGTGTGTGTGTGTGAGTGTGCCTCAGTGTCATGCACACTTCCTTACTGAGGGATATCAGACATACAGTAAAGGGCACAAGCATTGAGTGTGCAGCTCCATGAATTGTTACAAAGTAAACACCTCCTTATAACCCCTTCACAGATCAACCCCAGCTTCTTCACGCAAAACTCAAAAGGGCCAATGACCCAGCGCAATTTGTTGGGGCAAGGAAAAAGGTTTATTTGAAAAGCAAGCAAACCGAAGTGCAAGATCTCGCCAGCAAAGAGCACTTTGCCTGGTGTTGCAGGTGTAAGATTCTTATGGGGATTTGTCTCAACTGGGGGCATCGGTTCACTACTGGCACATTAATAAGCACCAATAGGTTTTTTACTCCAACTCCAAGCACTGTGGTTGAGTAACATCACCTCAATTTTTTATTATCCTTTAAAGATATTGCATTTTCATATTCTTTATTTATAAAGGATCAATGCTGCTGTAAATACAGGTGGTTTTTTTTTTTTTTTTTTTAAATTTCATTCCACCACCATCAGATGCAGTTCCCTATTTTGTTTAGTGAAGGGATATATAAGCTTTCTAATGGTGTCTTCAGAAATTTATAAAATGTAAATACTGATTTGGTTGGTCTTTAAGATGTGTTTAACTGTGAGGCTATTTAACTAATAGTGTGGCTGTGATTTGTCATCCAGTATTAAGTTCTTAGTCATTGACTTTTGTGTTGAAAAAATAGGAAGGAGGGAAACTGCAGCTTTCATTACAGACTCCTTGACTGGTGAACTCTCCCCATGAGGAGTTCCATAAACTCCCATTTTGCCTCTGGGTAGTGGGTTTCCAGCATTTCTCTTGGGCTTTAATTTGCTAAAGCTGTGCACATATGTAAAGAAAAAAAAATAGATTATTTTAGGGGAGATGTAGGTGTAGAATTATTGCTTATGTCATTTCTTAAGCAGTTATGCTCTTAATGCTTAAAAGAAGGCTAGCATTGTTTGCACAAAAAGTTGGTGATTCCCTCCCCCAAATAGTAATGAAATTACTTCTGTTGAGTAAACTTTTTATGTCATCTTATAATAAAAGCTGAAAAAAACCCTTTGTTTCTATTTATAAAAAAAAAATGCTTTTCTATATGTACCCCTGATAACAGATTTTGCAGAAATCATGTAAGATGATAAAGCATTTGAATGGTACAGTAGATGTAAAAAAAATTCAGTTTAAAAGAACATTTGTTTTTACATTAAATGTTTATTTGAAATCAAATGATTTTGTACATAAAGTTCAATAATATAAAAGTTGTGTTTTGCTCAACTGGGGGCATCGGATCATCTGCTACTCTGACATACGTGCAGGTGTTATCTGGAGGCCACTCAGTGTTCCAGGTTCTGAAACCTAGAGAAAAGTTCTGATTAGTATGTTATGTCTTTTTAGTTTCTTTTCCCAGGAATAGTTAACCTTGCAGTTTAAGATACAGACAGGAGAGTAGAGCAGAAAGCCAGAGGATAATTTTAACCTCTTAAGCAGCAAAGCTAATGGGAGACTAGTAATACATTTTCCAGTGTGTGACCTCCAAAATTAGTGATATTTACAGTCAACTAAAAGCAAATGAAAATATAGGGTTTATTTCGGTTTCCCTCAGCTACAGAATACTGTGTCTCAGAAAGTTCCACCATTCTTCCCTGCAGCCATCCCTCTGCAGAGTTGGCCATTATTTCAACTTCTACTGCCATCATTTGTTTTTCTTTGAATGTTATATAAATGCAGTCACAGAGCACATACCTTTTGTGCACAGATTCTTTTGCTTAGTTTTATGTTTATGAGACCTGTATATGTTGCATATAGCAGTAATTTATTCTGCTATGCACTATTCTGTTCTATCAGTATAAGTTATTCTATGGATGATGGAATTTGGGTTTTTGCCAATTTTTAGTTATGTGTAATGATGTATGAGCATTCCTGCATGTGTGTCTTTTTGGTGCATGTATATATATACACACACACACACATATATATGTTTATATGTATGTATGCATATGCACATTTCCGGTGGATATTACCCAAAAGTAGAATTTCTGAAATTAACCTATTCTATATGTATGTTTTTATGGCAATCACTTTCCCAAGAGGTTGTACAATTTCTGCCACCACAAGTAACGTATGAACACCCCACTTGTCCCATATCCTCACAAGATGTGACACGCCTGTCTTTTCTTCTTCATTTTGGCCATTCTGGTGAGTATGTTTCATATGTTTCATACTATGACACTAGTTTAATTCCCTAATGGCTAATGACAGTGAATATCTTCCCATGTGCTTAAAGCATACTTGTACACTTCTTAATAAGGTGCTCATTCAAGTATTTTGCCCATTGTTATTTTATTTTTATTTTTGTTCCATTCTTACCATTTATTAGGCTGGGTTGAACTCCCGGGTTGTAGATACGTATTTCATATGTATTCTCCCATTTAAGGGCTTGTCTTTTCACTCTCCTGACAAAGTCTTTAGATAGTTACTTCCTTATTATGGGTGCCTATTGCATACTGTGTAAAAAGATTTGTCATCACAAGTTCACAATGATATTTTCATTTGTTCTTTCCTAGATGCAACATTATTTTACCTTTCAGATTTAAGTCTATTTTGGTCAGAACTTAATTTTTGTGAATGAAATGAGGTAGGGTAAAGTAGAAAGTCATTTACCACTTTTTCATGGAAAGTCATTTATTGAAAAATATCTTTACTACATTTCACATGCTTATTAAAAACTAGATGTCTATATGTTTTGGTCTGTTTCTGA